TCTTCCTTTTTTCCCTTTTTAAAAATGGGGGTTATGTTTCCCCTTTTCCAGTCAGTGGGAACTTCACCGGACTGTCATGACTTCTCGAATACGATGGATAGTGGCTTAGCAACTTCATCCGCCAGTTCCTTCAGGACCTGCAGATGGATCTCATCGGGTCCCACGGACTTGTGCACCTTCAGGTGCCTTAGATGGTCTCCAACCTGATGTTCTCCCACAGTGGGTGGCTCTTTCTTCTCCCAGTCCCTGCCTGTGCCTTCCGTGGCTTGGGTAGTGAGGCTCGAGCACTTGCTGGTGAAGACCGAGGCAAAAAAGTCATTGAGTACCTCCACCTTCTCCGTATCCCGGGTAACCAGGTCACCCATTTCATTATGGAAAGGGCCCACATTTTCCCTCGTCTTCCTTTCATCCCCGATGTACCTGAGCTATATTTAAGAAACGTCTGAAATCCAACTTATTCTAAAGTATACACTTTAAAAAACAGGAATAAAAAAAATTGTTCTTACTCTCTTTTGCGGTTTCTGTTGAAGAAATTGGCCCATTCAGAACAGGTCTTTTTACTTCCCACCCAGAAGACTGGAGATATGCCAACAATTAATGTCAGCAGATATTTCATCAGAAACAAAAATATTTCTGGTCTTGCTAGTGCCTTTGCCTAGAAGATAACAAAGTTTAATAAATGCAAAGAAGAAAATATACTTGTTGATTTATTTTTTAAATGCAGAAAACAAATTATGTAAAAGAGAGACTTTCTCCTTACGGCTGTTGTTCTTTGTTGAGGCTTGTACTGTGGACAAATGTTAGACATGTACAGTCAAGTCAGACCTGGTTAATATCTACAGCTGAACACACAGAGAGGAGATTAGTCAGAAGGAAATATTTTTCTTCTAAATTGAAAGGAAAGATTATTTTGCAGGTAATAGTATTAGTAACCATGTTCTTCAGAGATAGTTTGTATGTATAAGATTTATCCCTTCAACTTAAAAGAAACAGTTAAGTGGATGAGTTGGGAGTTAATCAGATTAGACAGCATCTTCAAGGAGCCGCAGGGAACTACATAGTAGTTTTCTGTTTATTGCAAAATTAATCCACCTATTTGCAGAACTGGATCATAGGAGCTGAGACATTTAACTCAGTAAGAGATTATTATCTTCTGGTTCCATGCTGCAAATTTAATTTACATTACCTGGCTTATCTGCCAGTCCCATCTATGAAAGTCACTATTTTTCATGGCCAGGTAACATTAGCTACTTAAACTGAAGTTTGTTTTTGTTTGGTTTTGATCTGGCCAATGTAATAAAAGTGTACAAGCTAGCTCAGGTAAGCCAAGGCCAAGCACGCCACTTTAAGCTACTCCATAGTTAGCACATGCTTTTCATTACAGGGACAGATCCCATTAAGTATGTCTTTGTGTAATATTCCCTGTTGCTATTTACTCTTTCCAATAGGTTAATTAAAGGCTGAGGAGACATGCTCTTTCTGCCTTATTATGCCAAGCTGTTACATTTCAGCACTACAAAACAAGTTTTTTTTTAAAAAGCATAAAAGCCTTGTTTTCAACCTTGTATATTTTGGACCATTTAGGTTGATACAGAGCGCAGTGCAAAACCGGCTGAAGACAAAGTGCACTTGTTAAGAATGGTAATAGAAGCACAAATAACCAAGAAGTCTGTGAGCTGTGCTACTCTCAGCTTACACTGACTTCAATACAGAGGATATAGAGGATGTTTAAGGATGGGGAAGGATCAAGCCTTATCATTCCATAATGCCTGTGTTTATATTCCTCTTTTTAATGATAGTTTATTGCAGTAAAAACATAGATGCTAAGTGCAAAGCCATGAAAGAAGACATGAGACAATTGCACTTCTCTTCGTGATGGTGTCTTCTTTTGTATTTGTTCTTAAATGGAAAGAAACAAACCACAAATTACTTGCGATTGCAGGGAGTTTTGTGTACTTACAAGAGATTTAATCCATAGAGAGTACTGAACATAGGCAGATATACTTTAAAAGCCTTTCCAAGGAAGTTGGTTGTTTTGTTTTTTTTTTTAAAGAGTCAAATGTTAAGTAGGAATACCTCCGCAATTTAAAGTGCTGTTGGGTTGTTTGTTTTTTTCTTTTTTTTTTTTGTTTGGTTGGGTTTTTTAAAGATTTCTTCACATTACTGAACATCAGCCCACAAATGACAGCTATCATGGAAAAAAAAATATACTGGAAATTTGTTTTGTAATTTCAAGTGTTTTACACTTCTACTCTGAAGAAAAAAAGATGAAAATTATTTTAAATCTATGTTTATAAGCAACATTTTAAATGCAATTTAGATTCAATTTTCAAGAATCATTATTTCAGCTTCAACTGAAATCGATGCAAACTCACCTTAGTTACTTTGATACTGAGCTAGGCACCCAAATACTGAGCAACCACTTTTAGGAACAGATGCTGTGAAGAACGATCCTCCCCCCCCGGCACAATTTGTAACATGAAGTTCAAATATTGTAAAGTTTATATATTCCCTTTAGAGCTGTGAATTGGAATTTAATTGCTGAGTGCTATCAATTTGTGAAAAATTTCAAAGCAAAAGTATGATACCACCGATTTTGACTTAAAAAGCAACTAATCACTGCATGTTCTTGAACTGATTACTCAATGTGAAAATAATTAACTAACTGCACAGAGGATACGGTGATGCATCATGGTTTTTGCCAATTAACTTTCCAGTATTATTTATAAAGGAAACTGCTACTTGCCTGATAAGGACAAGGAATATGGTACTGGTCACAGTGGTCAAATACCCAAGTCGTTTCCCAGATTTTCCGGTTCACCAGTTCATAGACATAACATCCAAGAAGTGCTACAAGTGGCACCAAGTATAAACCACTAAAAACTCCAATTCGGATCATAAATTTCTTTAGCTTCTCCTGGTTTCTGCCATCGTGCTGTATGACTTGCCGCACGTGATTTAAAGAAATAATACCAGCTAAAAGAAGAGAGAGACCGAAAAAAACACAAAGGCACAACGGCAAAAGCACAAAGTACAGAGAGGCATCCAGATCGTAGAGACCCACAAAACAAACTCCACTGATATTGTCCCCTTCAACTTTGTTCATTGCAAGGAGCATAATGGTTAGAAAACCAGGTATTCCCCACGCAACTGCGTGGAACCACATGGCCTTTTGCGCAATAGCTTCACAGCTCCATTTTCTTCCCGCCGCAAGGAACCAAGTGATTGTAAGAATCACCCACCATATAGTTCCTGCCATAGTGAAAAAATACAAAACCATGAAAAGGACAGTACAGGCTTTGTTTTGGGAGCCAAGAACAACTGTTTCACCAATTTCTAACTTATCATCTGCCTCGTTACAGGCAGTTCTGTTCCCAAGTAAAAATCCGATAAAGTACATTAGAGAGACTATGCTATAACAGACAGAGTAATATATGATCGGCCTCTCTGGGTACCTAAACCTTTTAACATCAATCAGGAAAGTCAGGAATGTGAAAAGCGTAGCACAAAGACAAAAGATTGAAACTATTCCAATGAAGCTTTTCGCAACATCCAGTTCATAATTTTTGAAGTACATATTGGGACACGGGGGTGCACACTGATCAATTCCTAGAAACTTGTAGCCTTGTCCATTGGTAGTGTGTAGGTGTCGTGGACACCAGAATCCATAATCCCTTCGGGTCTGGCCCAAGGTCTTCTGAGTTCCATGTACGTTTGTGGTTACAGCAGCAGTGGCAGGAACAGTCTCATCACAATTGACTAGTCTACATAAACAAACAGAAGAGGAAATATCTTAATATCCCTCATTCTCAACTATAATTATTTCTTAGAAAAAAAAAATCTGATTCTAAGCACTGATAAATTTTATAGATAATGCAAAATGTGCATTACATAAAAAAATCAGGTGGCATTTTAAAAAACAGACTTCAAATATTTTCAGTTTAGAAGACTATTCAAACACAGCTATTTAACCGTTGATCTCTATCTGTTGTTTTATTGCTTATGAAACACTACTCAAATTGCAATTGTTCTTTTAGAGTCTTAAATTCTACTAAACTTTTACATAGGTACATAAAAATATTTACAGTAGTTTTTTTTTAATCTGGATGACAACAGACTGTCGGGGACAGCAAATGATCTTGTCAAAATGGAAGCTTTAACCAAGAGTATCTAGAATTAACTGATGACTAGTATATGATTATTATTACAATTTTTTGTGTTATAGTGGTATTTCGTTGTCGACAACAATAAAACTACCTCACTGAAAAAGGCAAAAGCAAAAGATATAAGCATTATAAAAAATTATCACTGTTTTAGCAATTTTTTCCTAGCTCCACAATGTTAATTTAGAAATTGCTCAAGACTCAATTGCTCAAGTCTTTAATTGCTCAAGGGTCTAACTGGACACAACATATGACCTTTTTATATGGTTACTATAGTATTAGCAGTGTTGGACATATTTTCAAACTAGATTATGTAAGTATAACTCAAACAGGTAAGCACTCACTCAAAATGGGATTTGTATTTATAAGCATTCCAAGTTTAAGCATATATTTAAAAAGAACAAGTTTTGCATTCTAGCTTTTAAAGCAAGATTCTGTTGTCTCAAAACATTCTTTGTCAAACTCTATTGTAAGAGTCCATCAACGTCAGTTTGCAAGCTCAGCTTGAGCTAAAAAAACCTTCTGTTCTTTTTCTCTGCATTATCATGCCGTCCAAACAAATCCACACTAATCATTAAGAAAACTGATTCTGTAGCAGATTCTTTCGTTAACCATAGGCCAGACCAGTATGCACGGGAACAGTGTGAACTTTATTCACCCATGTCTTAATAGGCATTATGCATGTCTGTAAGAATACAAGAGCGTGAATCTCAGGATTCTGGTTACTGCTTATCCTCACGCCAGCGTCTATTCCATGGGTTCCAGCAGTAGGATGTCTGCCGTTGTAAGAACATCCTGCATTACATGGACCATATCAGCTACTGGGGAGACATCATTTCACATATGAACAGAGCAGGTTCATTTTCAGTAAATGCTAGCAGTAATAGAATAATTTAGAGCCGCAGTGATTCCTGCAAAAATGTAATTTGATTTAAAATGTCATTTGAAACATATATTGAATAACTGGATTCACTTGTAATTTTTCTAATTTTCCAAAACAATTCTTGAAGACATTTGCTGCGCTGAGTGGCACTACTGTTGCCTAGAAGCTCACACTGGATAAAAAAAGTTGATGCCTTCTTGTTTTAAAACCCCACAACTTCAGTTTTTCTGCAGAATTAACGGAAAAGGCATTAATGCCATCTGTCATGTTCACTCCGATACGGATTTCTACCAGAGATCACAACATAGGACTACTGTCCCAGGTTTCCCTCAGCCCTATCACAGATTAGCAACTGCATGGGGGTTAGAAAAATTATTTGAGTTTCCACTCTCTGCTCCTTTCCTGTACTTCTTGCCCTGACTTGTGTTAAAAAAACCCCAAACATCTGGCCTTAATCGTTTATAAATATCTGCAATTGAAGGTCAGAATCTCAAGAAGATTACACTAGAGTGTTTTCAGTGGTTTCCACTGAATATATAGAGACTCATCTTTTCCCCAAATGTAGTATTAACTGTCTTTTCTCTGGAACAGACACGTGAACTTTTGGCAGGCAGTACAGGAAAAGCAATACAAGATTGAATTTGCACGTTTAAGCGGTTAGGAGTAAGAGAAGGCTTCCACTATTTAATGTTCTGTGTCCATTCAAATATAGACTATTTTATATTTCATTATTTTATGAGCGATTATTTATAATAGCCCCATGAAGTACGTATGATCATCCCTAGTTTAGAGGTCAGAAACCAAAGTAAAATCTATGCTGTAACATTTAATATTTTAAGAAACTTATAGTAAAAAGCTCCTTTTTGCAGTGATACGAACACTGAAAAGAACTGCTGCAGAACTTTGTTGCAAAAAAGTCACAAGCAGAAACAGCAGGTGATCATCTGAATAATGAAAAAAAGTTTTAATAAAAAAAAGTCCTATGCATAAGCACTGTAGGGTCACCAGTGATGAGGAACCTACAGCAAGGAGATACTTAATATTCTGTCTCAGATTTTCAACTCAGTCTAAGTCAAATATGAAAATATCACCCCACCCACCATCTGTCAACATGAAAAATACCCCACCTGGTACATTCCAGCTCTTCAGGCCATGTAATTCCAAAAGTGTCCATCAACTGCTTACAGTCAGAATACACTTTCTCACAGAGGCTTCGACAAGGGTGAATCACATGAACTTGCTCCAGGCAGGCAGGGACAAAGGCTTTGCACAGAAATGTGTGGACGTCTGGTGAACAGTGAAGATTCATAACTGTAAGAAAAGGCTACAGGGAAGAAAAAGGCTTTGGTTAGTAAATTTAAAAAGAGAATTCAAGGCATCAAAACTGACTTTCATCACTATGGCTCACATTTGTTCCCCTGTAGGTTTGAAAAGGTACTAGAAAATAGTGTTTGTTCAGCAGTTGTGAAAGAGCAAAACCCGGTGGCCTGAGCAGCGAGCAGCTCTGTTAGCACGTCTAGCCCAGGCCCTGCCCTGGGATCTTGGCCTACCTGTAACTATTCAAACCTGGGCTTTCCTATTTGACAATAATAGAAATCTGAAAGGTATTATGAAAGCCCAAGATTTTTAAAAAAATAGGGTAAAACATTAAGTTTCTACGTTCACCAGTCAGCTTCTAAATAAGTGCCCTGACATTTTTAAAGGTGGTCTGCCCCTGTACTTTCTGTTAAATTACATTTTCAGTCCTAAGTGGTATGTGACACTCCTCATCTTCTCTCATGCTAGAGAGGTTTGGGTTTTTTTGATTAATGAGGTCCAAATATCAATATTCCTCATTTAAACATTGCATTTCAAAATCTCAGCATGACTGATAATTTCTCTATCTGTATTACCGCGCACCAGGCAGTGAATAACTGATGACTGCTCTTACTAGAGAATTCATAGAATGAAATTTAATGCAACCCTTTTTTCCCCCCCAATTCATTCAATCCATTATTTACAGCCAGACAGGCTTTTAAGGAAAAAAAAAAAACCCAACAACCACTTTATCAACTTTATTATTAGAGAAAATTATTTTAGCTGAAATACTACCGCATGTGCAAACTTCAGACAAACCAGAAGCTGTTGGTCATTTTTGCAACTGCTGCGTTGTTGTAAGGGCAGCTAATTGAAGGAAGCAAGCGATGACACGCTAACAGCATCCATCGCCAGGCGCGCCCCTGTACTTCTAAGCGGGCCGCATGCCTACAGCAACGGGGCCAACAGAAGGGAGCGGAGGTGCTGGGGGGCTGTGTAAGCAGGCCCTCCTCTTAGCGAGCACCGGCAGAAATAAAACTGAAGAAGCCAACCACGTGCCGGTGACCTGTTGGTGACTCTCTGGACATGTGGAGACCAGATCACAGATCAGCTAGGGCCACGAGGCGCCAGGCATTGCCAGGACACGGGGCACACATACGGCACGCCGACATTTCACCCACGCAAAGAGCGCTGGGGCGGCAGGCCGGTGGGGGTGCGCAGAACGGATCGGCTCCTCCACCCCGCTCACCGGGCCTGCAGAGACTGCCCAGCGAAAAGGAAGGGAAGCAGAGCGGGCTGGTGGGGCGTTCGTGTGTTGACAGGCTCCGACCTCGCTGGTGCTCGAACAAGCCCCAGCCTTCGGATCCACTGCAGGCTGCGGTTCGCTGTCCTGTCTGCCACGCCAGGTACACATTCCTGATCCAGCTCATGAGAGTAAAACAAGCTAATTTAAACACCATTCTGAGGGAACTAACCCACGGCTGAGGGTGAAATCATACTGCAGGATCACGGCAGCCTTTTTACGTAGGCTTTTTGATAAAACGCTTCTTGGATTTCAGGAAAAAGGAATCTCCATATCACACGTAAATAGTCAAATTCATGCGTCAGGAAAGCTGAAACAGTATTTAACACACTTGGAAATGTGCTGATAAATAGGGACACTGCATGAAATTGTCAAAGGAGGCAGAATTTTTAGTAAGATTTTTATTAAGAATTTTATTTAATTCTTTGCCATTAACAGCTATGTATCTCAAATATTCAACCAATGACTAGTGAAGGAAGGATTAACTTCTGAGCCCAGAATAGTATCCTTATTTTTGTCAGCTTTTAAGTATCCCAAATATATATACACCCATACCCCAAGAGCAAGTCTTACTACTGAGCATGCAGTTTAAAAGGAAAGACATTGATAAATAAGTTTTCCCCTTCAAAATGGAATATCTACAAATCCTCAAGGGATCTTTGTAATAAACATAGGAATGTGTGGGGAGCGGGGGGAAGGGCGAAGATAAGGCAGAGCAAGAATAACAGAAAAACACTTTATGGAAAAACCAAAAAAAATGTTGGCACCATCCTTCAGAGCACTCCGGCTGCGTGCTGCATCTGCAGATGCCATTACAGCAGGCGCACAGAAGTCTGATCCCCCCTCTGGATGTCTGCTCTGGAGCTGCCTTCTCAGGAACCCAAGACTTCAGTATTTTATGACAAGGAGAGAAGTATAGCTCTGGTATAATGTGCTCCAGTTCCATAAGTTGGATTATTTCCTAAATGCTACACGGCTTCAGATGAAAAAAATAGTCAGGAGTTAACCCTAAATGAATTAAATTTCCTTTGCACAATTATGATGCTTGTTTTCCTTTCAATTAAATTTTATTTGCTCCAATGTTTAATTTATGTTAGCTTTGTTCTTCCTGGCACTTAGGATAAAATAAAGACAATAGCCTGAGTAGTCATATACATCTCCTATAGAAATTGAGTGTACTTTTGAAATTAAGTCTTGTAGAAATTGTCTTGATTGTTATGAATTCTTCCTTTTTATCACCCACAGTTCATCTCAGCTGATAAAAAATAAAATTAATTTTCTACAGCAAGTTTTGGGGTGCCGGTCAAGAACTTTTGCAGACTTAAGTAAAACAGAAATATTTTCTCTAGAAAGTAAGAATTAAAAAAAAAATTAATATCTATGAAACCAACTTTTTCTAAAGAGATATTTTACTAGCTATTTACTAACAATTTTTAAATAACATTTTCCAACATAGCTAAAAAGGCTACATATCATAAGTTCGCTCCCTTGATACAGAAAATGAGTATAAAGAAAGCACTGTCTGGTGAAGAAAGTCAGGACATAAATCCAACCTTTACCATTCTAACAGAATTTCTGTTATATGAAAATACTTAAAAGCTAAAATATCACAAGAATCACTACACAATAATACTCTATATTAGAGGTAGATAATGACAAGCGAAAATTAAATGCTTGCAAAAGTTTTACTACAGCATGTTGTCATTGGCTACTGTTGTTTAAAGAACATATTTAAGCACAAAACTACCCTAACAGATAAATTCAAAAATGCAAAATTGTAGGAAGGAAGCTATGCTCAGCCTGTAATGTAATCAGAGTAGAAATCCAAGGACTTGGCTGATGAGTAATTGTTCTCACAGCATTTCTTTCAGCCTGCTAAAAATATTTACCTTTTGACACCTGAAAACATGAGCACAGGTTAAGAGCAGGAGGTTTGGTGTTCTGAAAACACAAGCAGACCTTATCAGTCAGACCAAACATGCAGTTCTCACCCCGGCTGGTAGCAAGGGGAGGTACAAGATGACAAGCTGACATCCCTCCCAGTTTCCAACAATCAGTGGTTTAGGAAACTTGAGGAGCACCAGGTTATAACACCGGCATTGTGTTGAAGAGACACCAACAGACCTCCTTTCTTCCTAGAACACATCTAATTCCCTTTTTCAACCATTTATGCTTATACTCTTTGCAAAAATACTACAGCAGTAAGTTATACTGCATAATTTAATCAGGCACTGCTGAGAAAATACTGCATTTTATTTGTTTATTGTAACTCCCAGTTTTGCAACCTAGTTTGTGTTTTGACAGTTAACAGATTGCTCTCTACTTTTTCCACGCCATTTTGCCATCCTGCTATCTTTTACATATTATATTTATATATCAGCATAATAATGTTTTACATTTTGATTTCTACTCCTTTCATAATATACTTTTGCCTTCCATTTGCCTTGACTACACTTCAACACTGACCTCACATTTCCACAGAATCCACAGTGACGACAAAGACTCTGAGTGACAGTAACTAATATAATACCATGCACATCTACTTGTATGAATAGCGGGGGTTATTTTTCCCTGTATTCATTACTCTGCATTTACCATCCCTAAATCTCACCTACCATTTTACTGTCCAACTGCATCTATCACAAGACCTTTCTGCAACTCCTTAGTCTTTTTTTTTTTCTTAGCAAATTCACTATCCATCCCTCTTCCAGGTCATTTATGAGTTAGTTGTGTCAGAGGTTTCAGTACAGATGACTAGGGGGAACGACTCTAGTCATTTATTTGCTATAGGACCAAACAATCAGCTAATGATTTCATACCTACTTGTCACAAAACATTTATTTATTCCTACTTTTCTTCTTGTTCTTTAGGTAGTCATTGGAAAAGAAAGTTCCCATTGGGTTACCAGCATAGTTTCTTTAAAAAAGATAGGTTATGACCATGTCAAAGCCTTTTTGAAAACTGAAGTATAATATGCAGGCTGAGTCACCCCCTTTCAACAAAGTTACTGAGTCCATCAGAAAAACTCCAATACCTTTTACAGGCAATGATTTCCCTCAACCAAAAAAACTCTATAAAACATAAAACTTCACCTCAAGCACACACAAATAGGATTTTTAAAATACAGATTTATTTTCAGAAACTGCCTACTTTTACCGTTTAAGAACAGCAAAAAAGGTCGTGAATCGCACCTGGAACTCTGCTAACAATTACATATCTCTAAATGTGGGCTTCACTTCCAGCTAGCCAATTTGGAAATGTTTCATTATAGAAAATAATAGGTCTGCATTTCCTGATGGACCATAAAAGCAAAATCTCACCAAAACCACAGTATTCACTCCTCCTGCTGGATAGCATGTAAGCAAAAAGGTATAAAACCAAGATCACAGGCTCACTGAGAGTATGAATTGGTTGCTTCAAGGCTGTGTTATACGGATCACGGGTGTCCCAACCACCAACTATTTCTTACCCAAGCGGTTAGCTGGCTAACCTGCACACATGCGCATGTTTATGTCCTGAGCATCCAAGTCCAAGATTAAACCCACAGATTCACCAAGCCAGTGAATTTAGACTCTAGTACCATGATGTTTTCTTCAGGAAGGTCAGGATGTACAGGTGGCACAACCACATGAAAAGGCACTTGGCATTTCTAGCGTTAGCAACCATTGCTCTGTCACATGAAGGACGGAGATGAAAACCTGCAGATTTGGTGATGGCAGTGCTAA